CCTTCAGAGTACTTTCGTTTGCTATATCAGCTTGAAGAGATTCCATCTGAGAAGACACAGAACTGAGAAGTGAAGTGTTCTCTGCCTGGATGGAAGAAAGAACAGCTTCAAACTTTGTTTGCTCCTCTTGAATAGACTTGGAGAATGAATCCATAGAAGTTTGCACCTTAGCTGCATTTGTTTCAACATGCCCCTTGAGTGAGTCGAGAAAGATCTGAGTTGTATGCATAATGTCTGCAACATCAGTAGTAGCCTTCTTGCAAGCAGAAGAAGAGGCATTAACAACCTATGTGGATTTGTCAATGGACTCCGTGTATTGCTCAAGAGCGGTGTACAAAAAGGCTTTTAGCACAATGCCACTAGCAGACTTGTTGTTATCAAGCAGTTTATCTAGTTTCTCATTAATGAGCTGCAAGTGTTGGCGTGTGATGGGAGCATCCTCATCTTCATCAGTAGGAAGCCTATATGGACTATAGTATGTAGAATCAAACCCATCATTAGCACCACCGAGAGTGGCACCAGAATCAGTTGAGTGAGTAGGAGAAAGAGGTTTAGAAGTAACTGGAGGTTCAGTTCGAGTAGGTGCCTCCATATCAGATACGTTGACATCTACTGTCGGTTCAGGAATGGTAGTGGTGGTTGATTGGGAAATAATGCGAGGTGGTAAGGAGGTTTTTGACATAGGAACAGAAATAACCGGTGATGGTGGTGATAAGGAAGTTGTTGAAGTTGTTGTTTGAGAGGTGGTAGGTGGGGGAACAGGAGCAACCGAAACTGAAACTGTCAGTTTCGGTGATGGAGGTGGTGTGGGAAGTTTGTCATGAGGAGAATTTATTGGAGATAGGGACTGGGGAGGGGTGTAACCTCTCGGTGATTCATGATGAATCTCCTCTTCGTCATCTGCCTCGTCTTTTGCGGAACTGGGAGGAGTGGGACTCTTGGATCTTTTTTCCATCTTCTTTATCTTCTTAGGTTTAGAAAAATCCCCTTTCTGGGACTTTCTCTTCTTGTACTTGTCATCATCCGCAGTTTCTTTCTTGGTAGTAGTCTGTTTCCCTCGGTTACCAGGCTTGTCCACAACATCTAGGGCAACCTATTGTTCAGCAGATAAGACTCTCGGTTCCTTGGGAGGAAGCTTGCAATAAGGTGCCATGACTTTACTCTCGACTGTAACACACCGGTACATTGTCTCCGGGATAGAGCCAATAAGGTGCCACTCTGTGACGACCTAAGGTCATGTCATGGGCATTGGGTTCTTAACAGCTTAATGGGTTAAGTCGTTTTCTTCGATTCTAAGGGCTCCAAAGCTTATATCTAGTCTATTCTATGGTCTAAGTGGATAAAGTTTCCAACTTTACCCCTTAGACTCTCCAAGAGATAAAGATCTCACTCCTAAGTCCAAAAAGGGGCATAACACAACTTGACTTAAATTAATAAGCACTTAATCTTGAAGACCTCTAGTCCAATGCATGTCTTGAACTCCTATTAGGTTAAAATGAGAGTTTATGGACAAAAACCCATGCATGGCACTAAAAATCATTCTAATCCAGATCCAAAGCACCAAATACTCCAAATGACCTAGAGATTCATAAAGTTGCAAACTTTATGAGATCTCGCCACTCAAACACACCAAGACATGAAGAAAAGGGACAAAATCTAAAGATCTAGGAACTTATCAAAGAAAAGGTTGGATTATGGATACTCACCAAGGTCTAGAAAATGTGCTAGCTGAAAAGGAGGTTGTTAGCAAGGTAGACTACCACACCAAGGGCTTCCTTTTCCTTCAAGAATAACCAAAACACCAAAAAATGAGTTCACAATAGCAATAGAGGCTAGGGTTAGGGTTTTTGAGCTTGAAATGGTGATGGAGGCTGAATGATCACGAAACCCCAACCTTAATGTTCTTTAAATTGGGACCAATGCCCAAAGATTAGGGTTTCTCTCTAAAAATACCCGCCATGTCGTGGCGCCTAATGCCACGTCGTAACCACCCCAAAATAAAAGTTGACAATTAAAGAATGACTCATACTTGGAACAAGTGTTACATTTATGCTTACAGTTGTGGATTAAACATTTTGCAGGTTGTTCGTGAGAAGAGCTCGGAGAAACTGTACAAATGCATCGAAGATGTTTGTTTCCATAGTTTTATAAACTTAACTCTGATATTATATGGTTTTAATCAAATGGATGTTACTTGTTGGTTTTTGAAACAAAGGTTGTAATTCGTTATTATATTCTAAAATCGAAAATCTATTTGATTTTTTATGGGACGTTACACTCACAAGCATCGTTAACTCCATTGATTTTCCAAAATCATCCATTCACAACTATACCATCATCTTTTAATCTCCAAATGAAGAAAGGAAAAAAAAATCCTTGTTGATCATGTGGATGTTCCCATTACTTAACCATGAATCAAACCATGGTTCCAACACTCAGATGTTCCTATTACATAACTATGACGCGAACCATAGTTCGAACCCATACACTAATAGCATTGGCCTTAGTGTTGTTAACAATAGAAGACGAATCCTACATGGTTCAAGTATTGATACTTTGGCTTAAGTCTTACTTGACCCTCGCTTCCCTACAAAAGGGTTAGAAAACCATGAAGAACAAACCATCGAGCTTAAAAAACTCAACATGGGTAAAAATAACATTTCTCCTTTCTATATTTAAAGATTGAAAGATGATATTAGAGTTGTGGATGTATGATTTTGGAAAATTGATGGAGTTAATGATGCTTGTGAGTGAGCTTTTTGTTGTTAGGTTCGACGATGACGACGAAAACACACTATGAGCTTAGAAAGAGCGCAAGAAAGAAGACAGAGACCGGTACATTATAACTTAGATCATATAATATACATTAGTTTAAAGGTAATCTCAAAAAAGCCTCAATATCTTGGTTATTGGTAAAAACAAATAATGAAAAAGCCCCAAAATTTTGATCAATTAATGAAAAAGCCCCAAAATTTAGATCAATTAGCGAAAAAAGACAATGTTTTCAAGTAGTGTTCGATCGATTATATATTAATCAATATTCAATTGATTGGTCTGAGGTTATCTACAAAAAAGATTTGTCTAAGCCACTTCGTTTCTTTTTGTCCAAGTTGCTTCTTTTTTTGTCTAACTCACTTCCTTTTTTGTTTGTCAGATCGGGAATATCCCCATTCATAGGTTCGAGATCTACATCTATGAATTGAAAGCTCCGAATGATCTACAGTTTTTAGAATCAATAGGTCTTCAAATCGTTCATTTGAAAAAAAATGAAACCCTTCTTATTGGATGATTATGAGACTTGCCAAAAATCTAAATTCTTGATCAATAGAGGAACAATATCACCATTTTTGTTCAATAATCGTAAGAAATCCTTTGATAACACAGATTCCTATTTCTCAATGATATTCCACAATCAATACAATTGGCTGAATCCCGTGAAATCATTTCATAGAAGTTCATTAAAATCTTCTTTTTATAAAGCAAATCAATTTCGATTCTTGAATAATCCACATACTAGCTAAATATGTGAAATCAGTCATGAAGGGTTATTCCGAAGTTTTAGCCATAATCTGTCTTTTTTTATAAACAAATTTTAATTTTGAATTAAATCGTAAACTAATATAAAATATTATAACTATATCGGAGATTTTTCTTATATTATTAAAGAAAGATTGATTTATAAGACGGACAAAATTCCCCTAAATTTCATACCTGCAACCAAAAGCCCAACTTTTTGGAAATGTGGTATTAAAAATGAATACCAAAGATTTGTGCTCAAATTGCTATTAAAATGTTGGACTTATCTTAAGCATGCGCAGTTGTTAACTATCCTACTAAACTTGAGTTTTAATAGTATTTTAGACCCTTTCCTCTTCATTTTTGAAATATAATATAAATCCGAATTAAAATTATAAATTATAAATCAATGTTATAAGTTAATAACTCGACCACAAATTATGTTCAATTGCACATGATCTTGTCTTATGATCGTACTAATTATTATACACGTAACGACAAAAAAAATTCTTGTAGTTATGAAAAGTTGCTTTCTTATGAGTCTAGAAATTTTTTCATGTGCACAACTAAAGGAGACAATCGTATAGTTATATTTCGACTGATATCTTATTGTTTACACAAATCCACAAATAAAGCAAAAAACATTATCCCTTGTATTTTAACATAAATACATAATTTCCTTGATGTGTAATTTTCACTTTTAAATACTATTAAATAAGACCAATTAATCAAAATGATTATTATCAATATTATATATCAAAAATAATATATATATATATATATATATATATATATATATATATATATATATATATATATATATATATATTTGTAAAAGAAAAGAAAGTTAACTCTAAGAAAAGTAAAACTGGTTTGCAAGTCGATGAAATGAGTTTTTAATTGCTTGACATTTCCAACTCATTATAAAAGAAAGGGAATATTTTAATAAATTATGTACATCTAACTTTTAAACCAACTTATTCTGAATTTGTTAAGGTTGATATAAATGAAATTTTTAAAGAAAATAACTACTTTTAAATAAATTTTGATTGACACGCTACATATAAACTAATTGTTTAATTAACGTTTCAACGAGCTTATTAAACTTTTAAAAATCTTCTCAAATATATACATTTTATTAATTATAAAAATAAAAATAAAAATAAAAAAAAAAAAAAAAAAAAAAAAAAGAAGACTCAATCTTTTACATATTCTTTTATATATTTCAATCATCTTAACAACTAATTTTAAGAAATATTATTTTTATCTGCCAACAACTAATTTTCAACCATCAACTTGTTCAGCTATCAACTAGTTCTGCAGTTAACAATTAACAATTAGCTTTTCAATTATTTCATCAAACATAAACTTAATTTTTACCTCCAAGACTAATAAAAAATTATAAATTTATAAAAAAAAATAACTTCATTTTTTATAAAATATTCAACAATATTTAGTCAAGATAGAACAAACCTAAAAAACAAGACGAAATGAAACATTCTCATATACCAACAAATCAATCGTAACCCTACAAATCATTAACCGAATAATATTCTAATAAAAATATTTACAATATCCATGTTACAACACTTGATATAAAATTATCAAAAAAAATGAAAAACAAATCTCACTCTCAACAATGATCTACCATATGAATCTTTGAATACCATGTTGATGATCCCATCGAAAGGGTCGAAATAAAAACATTGTCATAGTAAAAACATTGATGGATGTATATATAAATCCCATAAGTAACCACACTCTATCATTAGTGATACGACAATGAAGTATCAAGAAAAAGAAAGGTATTGTGTAGTATCTAAATTCTATCAATGGAGTAGGAATTAGACACGTGGCAGAAGCCAAGAAATAAACCATCACCCAAACTTTCTTCTCAACTTTTGCTAATAGAGTAAAGATAGAAGTCCATGAGTAAAGATACAAGGGAATCAGAAGGTATCTTGTTGACCAATGAAAATTTATAATTTTCCTCCATAGATAAAAGGGATAATGCCGATTATCAGCAAGTAGATAAGGGTGAGCAATACTGCAATGGTATTTTTTTTTAAAAAAATCATGTTAATAAAAAGATTTATGTTATTGAGTTGATTCAAAATGATTGAGGTAGAAAAATAAAGAGACAAACCTGAAATAGTGAATGGATAGAAAGGTAATTATGGAAGCAAAAAAGCAAAGTGGGAAACTTAAAGGTTTATTCTTCCAAAAAGAGTTAGCCAAAATTGTAACTTGAGTTGTTGTAAAGTGCATAGGAGCCATAAAACAAGATGAAACTAAACCGTAGTATAATAACTGAGCAAAATGTGGAGAAACTGTATGAGCTTCTTTTGCCCCTACAAAAACAAATAAAAGTATGAGAGAGAAGCACTTGTACTTTCATCATTTTATAATTTTATTTTTTTTCCTTATTAAAGCTATGTTTAGCGTACTAGCTGAAAAGCTAACTGATAGTTGTTAAATCAAAAGCTAACTGATAGTTGTTAATCAAAAGGTAACTGATAGCTGAAAAGCTAGCTGATAAAAAATGGTGTTTGATAAAACTAGTTGAAAAAGCTAGCCGAAAGATATAAAAAATGACATAAAAAGGCATTTACAAGAATGTGTTTCTATAACTATTTAAAGAGTAAATTACACAAATGGTTCCTATGGTTTAGGGTAATTTGCACGTTTGGTCCCTAATTTATTTTTTTAACTTGGAAGGTCCCTGCAGTTTATTTTTTTGCACTCTTGGTCCTTGTCTTACCTAAAAAAACTACTTTGCACTTGATTTTTTAATTTATTTAAACCAAATAGGGTAGGTAAGATGCTGGAAGGTGAGGTGAAAATGGGGTTGGGGGTGTGTTTGTTTAAATAAATTAAAAAATCAATGGCAAAATAGTGTTTTTAGGTAAGACAAGGACCAAGCGCGCAACAAAAACAAATATTAGGGACCTCCGAGCTAAAAAAATAAGTTAGGGACCAAACGTGTAAATTACCCCAAACCATAGGGAGCATTCGTGTAATTTACTCCTATTTAAATGGTATATTTGGAAATTTTTTAAAAAGCTAGTTTTTAGCTTGTCAAACATGACAACATAGAAAAGCTCGAAAAATAAGCTAGCTTATCAGCTAGCTGTGGCGCGCCAAACATAGCCTAAAGCATGTATGGATAAGCGGGTTGAACGGGTAATGATGTCTGTCTGGATAAAGTGTTGTTTTTCTAGACTGAATAAACCGTTTGTGTGAGATTAAATGACTATTTTACCCTTACATTTATCAATTTTAAGGTGAGAGTTAGAAATGGAAGTGTGAATTACCAAGAACTATACTGCCATTCCAAACAACAAATGCAGCAAAAGCCAGCAACAACGCAAAAAAAGGGCTAAAAGAGACAAAAAGCTCAAACTTTAGATTCCAAGCTGCTAATAATATGCTCCAAATCTCACTAAATAAACCTGCATTATAAATATAGATATATATAATAAAAGAAGTTATTATAAACCTTAAAGTCGGCTTAAAAGGATCTGTATAAAAAATCCCTCATTTCTAATGTTAACGAGACAAAAATTGCAACTTTTCATCCCACAGTAAAAGGTGAGACAAAGAGTCTTTTTTCGATCTCTTATAATGTGGAAAAGACGTAAACGCCCTTGTGAACAAAATAGCCCTAAAATTGAATACACATTAGTGAATTTAAAAGGGTTAAATGCGCATTTATGCAACAACATTTCACCTTTTTGTTTCACAATTGGGAAATTGTCAGAAAAGCCCCAATATTTTCGGAAAAGTTACACTTTAGTCCCAAGTTTTTTTTTCAACATAAAAGTCCCAATTATTTGTAAAAACACGATAATATGTCATTTCCTGTTAAAAGAAAAAAAAATTGTTAATTTGAGCTAAAATGAAATAATCAGGGCTTTTATGTTCAAAAAAAAACTTAGGAATAAAGTGTAATTTTTCCGAAAATATTGGGACTTTTCTGACAATTTCCCTTCACAATTTTATGCAACAAAGTGGTTGTTCAAATTTCAAAATAAAAGAATCGTAGTCACCTTTCATTCTAGGACCAAAATAAGCAACAAATTTTTATTTAACAAATGATTATTTACACGACAATGTTTCTCCTTGATGCAACTTACACAAATTATAAAATATTGTATCTTTTGGTCCTAAAGCTTTGTTACATTTTATACAAAAAAAGCACTTTGTTGCATAAATTGAGAAAAAGATGAAACATTATTGCATTAATACACATTTAGCCCAATTTAAAATTTACATTTATAACATTTTACCTTTTTCCCAAATTATGCAACAAAGTGGTTTTTAACTTTTTATACGAAATATTCACCACAGATTATTCACAGAATTGAAAGTGTTTACCTTTTTTTTTTACCAATTTATATAACCATGTTTGGATTATTCTCCTAATCTTCATTTAGTTACCAATTTATAAAACTATCTTTCAATTTATATAACTACGTTAAAAAGATGAAACATTATTGCATAAATGCGGATTTAATCGAATTTAAAATAAAAATAAAGATATGCAAACCTGTTGACTGATGAAGACTTTTTCCATGGATGGAATGATTTGAAGTGTGAATAGCATTACCAGATCTTCTCCTTTTCAGATTAGAGTTGACTTTAACACTACTACTTGAAGCAAAATGACCAAATTGGGGCTCTGATGAAAAATTATTTTCATGTTTCTTTTTAGCTTCAATAAGATTTAGAATTCCACAACATGCAACAAATAGCATCCAAATAATATTTGTTTGTCTTATAACTATGGAAATAGCTCCAAACTGCATTGTAGTTAGTTGAAATTAGTTATTGCAAAGTAAGAAGATATAATAAACAAATTAACAAAACTAAATTGATATTTCTTGCATTTAACCTTTTTTTTTACTTAAATAAGGACAGAAATTAATCCAGTAAGCTAAAATATGGATATTCATTTTTTACCAAATGCAAAAAGAACAGCTTACTAGAGAAAGTCAAGACAATAAGCTTTTCCCTTTTACAAATTTACCCTTGTTTATTTTTTCCTACAATTTCCCCAAAATATGCCATCATTCATCTAAAAATGACTTTTTAACTCATTGAAGAAAAAAAAAGTGTTTGGGTATAGAAAAAGGCCCTTTTAAAAACAGCTTTTTGTTATTCTTTGAAAACGAGATTTCAAGAAGTCACAATTTCTAACTTCTTGAAACAACTTATGAGTTATTAGGTTTACAAAGTAGATAAAAGACAAAATTAAGCCAAACACTGTTTAACTTATTGACTTATTGATTTTTGCAACTACAAAAGCTAATCCAAACACTTTTTAAAAAACCCCTTTTTCCCACCTTCATAAGTCAATATGTCCTTTTTAACTTCAAAATGGAATCCCAATAGATGAAGATAACTTAACCAAAAACAAATGGTAAAATAATTAAAGAAAAAAAAATCAATTATTACCAAAGCACTGGAGATGTAGTTCTTCTTGAGACACATAAAATACATAGCAAGAACTACTGTGAGTGATGCTACATCTGTATAATAAAGAAAACTGAAGAACCAATGAAGGGGATATAAGGCTAGAATAACTGCATAAAGAGTTGCTTTTTTGTCATCAAGTGATGGATTTAAAGATTTGATTATATCATGAACCAAAATGCTGCAAATTACAGCTAGAAGACCATTGGTTGACCGAAGAACTGATGTTGAACAGGAGTTTATAAAACTTGAAAGTGGTTGTATAAATAGGATGCCAGGAAATAAAGAAGCAATATATGCAAGTGAAATGAAGTACCTGAAACAAAAAATAATAATAATAATAAGTAATTTGTGTGTTAAAAATAAGATTATCTAATTCTAAAAAGAATTTTTTAAAGTGAAACTTACAATCCAGGAGGAGTGGTTATCATAGGATCCCAACTTTTAAAATTGCCTACACAATATTGTTGAACTTGAGGAACATGAAAGATCTCATCCTACATTAACATTCCAATTTTACCAAATTAACATAAAAATTTGTAACTTTTGTCTCATTGAACTTGTGTAAAAAAAATTATGAATTTGATGATTATATTACCATGTAGGGTTCAGGAACAATTGTATTGACAAGGATGGAAATGGGTATGACCCATGAGCTTACAATCAATGCAACTGTAATTCTGCCCATTTTTTATCACTCTTTCTTGTGGGGATTACTTTGAATTGGATCCTAGTTCAACTGAAAAAGGGGGAAATTCCAAGAGCATACAAAAACTATAACAAATCCTACATTCCAAATCCAAATAGATGAGAAATTGTAGAAATTCGTCAATTATAGTGTGGATCAACAGCATTTTTGAGGTACAAATATATAGAGAGAAAGAGAGGGAGAGAGAATTGATACCATGGGGAGAGTAAGCAAACTAAGCTCTGTAAGTGCAGATGTGATCGCCTGCTTTAATCGCATCCTTTTAAACTCTGTGGGGAAGAAGCACTATATTTCTCGTTCCTGACATTCTTCCTCTTGAAATCTGTAAGCAAAATTTAACACAAATTAAACGTTTTACTCAAGCACATTGTGATGTGGGCGAATTTTAACAAAAATTACGCAAATGAATAAACCATTTGCACCGTTTTAAATGTGATCTCACACGCAAAGTTGGAAAAATATGATTGGTGGGCAAGACCACCGATCAACAACCATTACGAAAGCTGATTTTGATAATTAGGGTTTATAAGCCATGAAGTTACCTGAGAAGACGAAGGCGCCGGCGATTTGCAGAGAAGACTAAATGTAACGATGAAGAACTAGCAAACAGAGAAGATAACGAGCAGTCCAACGAAGTTTGATGCAGACAGAGAAGTGAATCGGAGAAGTCGATGAATCAGAGAAAATGTGGGTGAAGGGATGTGCCACTTAGTAAAGAAACCAGTAAGCAGTTGTTTGGGTATGGTTTTCCGAGCTTATTTTTTATAAGTTCATTTTTTTTAATTTATTTTTTAACTTCTAAATAAGTTAATTTATTTTTTAACTTATTATAATTTACACTAAGAAAATAAGCTTATAAAAAAGAAACTCAAAAAATAAGTCATAAATAAATTTAGTCAAACATCTCCAAAGACTGTAAAGCAGTAAAAACGGACTTCATAAACCCTCCAAATCGAATAATAACTTTGGCTAAAATCTGACATTACAATTAGTGGGCATGTATAAGAGATTTCTATACTTTTCCGTAAACAGATTTGCACGTTTACGTAAACAGATTTGCAGACATGATAATCAAACGGATAGAATTATGGTCAAAACTGATTTAAAACTAAAATTCAAACATTTAAAGTGACTTCTTTGTCGTCATCTATCCCATTTGCTCATCAATTCTAACTCTTTTTATTTTCTTTCTAAATTTACTATGAATTTTGTCATTCAACCTCTCAACTCTAGCGTTTCATTTTTTTTCTTTTCGCCTTCCATCTTTTACTCTTCAACCATAAAAATATTTCAACTCGACATGACATAACATATTTACAAGGCCTAAACTACAACCCGAAACCCGACACGAAAATAAAAGAATTAACACGACATGACACAATAATTAAACGGGTCGAGTTAGGATCAAGCCCTCTCAACCGGTATAATTTTTTGACACGTCACGACACGTTTGTCAGATCTAATATCAATTATGTTGTCATTGTCACTTTTACACAAGGTTATAATAATGTATCAATTACTATATATGTTTTCTGATTTATAAAATGACTAATAACTTAAAAGAGTAATATATTTTTTCATTTGTACATATTTGATCACTAAGTTTTTTCGTTCATATTTTCCCCTTCAATTTTTCTAACTAGTACAACTATACATAATTGTATCTAGGGTTTCAGCCTTTAGGTATTGGTAGGCTTTTCCTGTCATAAGATCAATTCCAAACCTTGGCTTCATTACTCATCGTATTCGGTCTTTCGTTGTGCTATGGGTCACTTATTTAGCATCAACATTCTCCTACCTAAGTGACATTGCATTAAATACATCCTTAATGCATATCCATGGAGCTTTATCACAAATCGCAAGAATTTCCTCACATAAAATAGTTGGTTAATATTTTCTATTGGTAACCTCTTTAACTTTGTTGAATCATATATTTACCTCCAAATGGCATCATTTATTATTTTTATATGAGCATTAGAGCATGTGTACATCTCACTTAGTCTAAAAAGGTGATGGAATATAAGCATATGAATAAGAGACACACATACATCATGAGAAAACAACAAAAATGCATATTCCACAAGAGGATCCTAGGTTCAAACAATCGATTGCAACTTAAACAAACACAAATGGAAGAAATACAAAAAAATGTCATTGTCGTATTTGTTTTCATTATTTCTAGCTTTTATAGACGTGTAGAACCCAAACTAGGATTACTCTTTCGTAGTCACACGTAAGAAGCAGATCAACAACAATCCTTGACAACCCCTTGCTTGTGAACACTCTGATCACAACCCTAAATAATTGGGGTTTCAGGTAGTTTAATGTATCGTGTGGGATGAAGGGATACAACTCATAAATTGGTAGATCGAGTATAAAACCCAAGATTTTTAGATTAATTATGCAGTGGAATGTTATTTTCATGCTAAGGGCATTTCGGTCCTTTTTATGTTATTATGATTTATGGAATGTTTTGATTATGTTTTTGTTGGATTAGTGTCTAAGTCCACAACTATTTTGGTATGTACTTGACCCGATGGTGCATGGTCCTTTTGGGTTGCCTTCACCAAAGTAACTTGATAGGATGAATTATGGAGAGAAAGGATTAAATATGATTTATTAATATATTATGAGAATAATATATTAAAGGAGAAATCATATTGTTTAATTAATATTAGTCAATAATTAATTGGTAATTAGTTTTGTGACTAAAAGAGATTAATTAAACTTAAGGGACTGGAATTGTAATTATAAGATAATTGCAATTAGGGTCATGGATTGCCTTTTATTATAAGGTGGACGAATTCTATGGGGGAAGCCCATATGAAATCGTCCAAGGCCTTAAGAAAAGGGCTCCATGGGTTGCTTAGGGCTTAAGCAACCAAATTAGGGTTTCCTTGTTAGATAACCCTAATAGTCTCACTATATAAAGACCCCTTATGCCTCAAAAACGTGAACAAGCAACCTTCTAGGGTTTTCACACGTTTTGGGCAGCCTCCATCCTCTCTCCTCTTCATCCTCTTGCTTATGGTGTTTGTGAACCATTAGAGGAGTGACACTTGTGACTCTAAGCCTTCCAAAGTCAATTCAAGGAGGAACTGGGATTGTTATTGCTACATAACAATCAAGGTAACATTATAAACTTATTCTTATGATTAATATGATTACTTGAATGCTAGAATTAGGGTTTATAGTCTTGGATTCAAAGCATGTACAATAGAGAAACCTAGATCCAAGCATTAGGGTTTGTATGAGCACATAGGATGTCTTATGACCAAAACCCATCAGTGGTATCAGAGCCATTGGTTTGGTTTCAATTGTATGAACTTGATATATTAGGGTTTATTGCCAATAAACCCTAGGAGGCTAGGGTTTTTTGAGATTAGGGTTTGCAAACCCTAATTTGCAAGAGTTTGAATAAGATCTTCAAATCCTTTCCTTAAACCCTTAAATTTCGAAATCTAGGGTTTGTTATAATCCCTTGATTTTCGAAATTTGCCTCCTCCCCAAGATAAGATCCTAATTTTTAGGGATTTGGATTATCCCATATCTTGTAATTATCCTTTAATTGTTATATATGGTAATTCAAGATCTTGCATTATCCATCCATATTTTCGAAATCTATATAGATATTTAAGGGATTAGGATAACTTAAATGTATAAATGGTAATTATCCTTATTATTTAGATAATCCCTTATGATTTAATAATTAAATTAATAGTCTAATTCAAGATAATTATTAAATCAAGAGTTTTAATATTTAAAATTTTAATTTAAATGTCATAAATTCGAAATTTTAAGATAGATTAAAACTAAATTGTTTTCAAATGTTTCAAAACTTGCCCTCAAGTTTTGGAATTTAAAAGTTGATTAAAAAGGTTTAATTAGGAGTGTTAAATTCTAAAACCCTAGTATTGTTTTGAAAAGTTCAAATCACACCCTTATGGTTTTATTAATTAATTAAGGTGTATAATTAAAGAAAGTTTAATGAATCCATATAAAGTTTGGTTTACAATTTAATTGAATTAAAAGTATAATTATTAAATTTGACCACATAGTATTTTAAAAGTATGAAATACACCCTATACTATATATATAACATTAAAGGTTTAACATTATATATATGTATGAGTAAAAGTCAGTCTTACCGTTAGTAGGCCTCATTCACGAAGCTGGTCTATAAGGGGTGTTTAAGGAAATTGCCTATAAAATGGCGATTGAATGGGTATCCACTCTTACCCACCGCACTCTTGACTAGTGGAGGGTCGTTAGCCGAACGGGTAGGATAGGACGAAACCTTCCATTATAAGTATAATGAAATACAAAGTAACTAAATGTCTTTCAAATTCTCAATCTTAGTTACTTAGGCAAAAGTGAATTGATGCAATTCCATGAAATTACACTTTGTGCCCTTGCGAAGACGTTAGTGGAGCGTGTGTGGTTTACCGGCACACTAAATGGTTCTAAGCAAAGGTAGCAAAGGGTGACTCAATGTTTGTCATAGTTCGGTGGAGCGTGTGTGGTTTACCGGCACATCGAATAGGTGATTGTAACATGTGAGGGCACCATGTAGTTTGCATGGTTATTCACACCCGCTTTGTGATCCTCGGCATCCCAGTCACAAACAAGAGGGGCATATCGAGATTTAAACATGCCATTGAAATGTTCAATGAATCTCAAAGGATCTAGGAGTTTTCATAGATTTAAAACTTAATTTTTTTTTTTTCGTTTTTCATGGTGGAAATTAGTGAATCGCCATTCACTTACCTTCAAATGTTCTTCAATTTGGTTACGGCATCCCTCTCCCGAGTTGTAGAATATTGTGTTGGGTCCTAGCCTTAGTATTTCATTTGGGTGATTTACTAAGGACTCAATCTATCAACTAACTTAAATTCGTTTTCTCCCGTTTTGTAGATGTCAAAGTTCGACAACTATGGTCTTCCCAAATCCCGTGGAACAAGCTTTCCACATGAAGATGATATTCCATGATTCGATCGAGAAACAAGAAATCATGCTTCACTTCCCCCTCCTCCTCCAATTATTCTCCCTAACCCACAAGTTCAAAGGCTTGAAAAGTTCAAGATCACTCAAGCCCTTTTGGCAAGTAAACATAAAGAAGGAACGTCCGTGTGTGCACACGTCCTAGGGATGAAGTCACACATTGATAGGTTAAGAATGTTGGGATCCGTTGTTTGTGAGGAAATGGCTGTTGATTGGGTTCTTCAGTCACTTCCTAACTCATATAGTGAGTTCGTAAGAAAGTACTATATGATGAACTACGACGTGACCCTTATAGATCTCACCTATATGCCTATTGTTGTTGAATCAGAAATGATTTGGCGCAATAGAAAAGCAAAGTTGATTTGTGAATCTGCCTTCAAGACCTCTATGGATATAGACAATGGCAATGAAAGACATGCAATGATCAAAAAGTTTGATCATAAGAGAAAGGCGATGTCTTAAGTAGTTCCATGTGTTGTTCCAAAAGAGTCAATTTGCTTTTATTGCCAAGAGAAAGGGCATTGGAGACGAAGTTGCCCCATTTACCTAAGAGATCTAAGAGATGGGAGAGTCGAAACGTATGGCTCTAATTTAGGTAAAATCCATTGACTAACTCTTTTAAGCTTCTATTCTAGATTCTTAATACATAATGTGATAAGATTACAATTGATGTTTTGTAGGATCGAAGAAAAGAAAGGAAGCTTAAGGGAAGAAGTGAGCAGAA